GGCTTTCTACTCCCGTAAGGATTTACACCCTCGGAAACCCTGTACAGGGTCGCTATGGGTCGGAACCGACTCGACGGCACTTAACAACAACAACAACAACTAAAATCAGCAAGTGATTTTAACAAGATTTTATAATACAAGATCAGAATAGAGTTTTATTTCTATTTACTAACAAGAAGCAACCAAATATTAAAATTTGAAAACCACTATCATTTAGTATGGAGTTCTGGTGTGACACTGTGGGGTAATGCGTCAGACTGCAAAACCATTTGAACTGCATGGTCAGCGGTTCGAGCTCACCAGCTGCTACTTGGAAACCCTATACAGGGTTGCTATGGGTTGGAATCAACTTGATGGCACTTAACAACAACAACAAATCATTTAGGATTTGTTAACCACAGGTTGGCAGTTCAAATAAATCAACCTTAACATGGAAACCCTATAAAGGGTTGCTATGAGTTGAATCCAACTTGACAACACTTAACAACAGTATTTACAGTATCCTGTATATATGAAATAGCAATGAAATCAGTTGCTATCAATCCATTTAGATTCGTGACAACCCTATGTATACCAGATTAAAACTGTTCTCTGACTAATTTTTTTGAGAAATGGAATACCAGGCCTTTCTTCCAAGGTACTTTTTGGTTGACTTGAACTCACAATGTTTTAGTTGACTTGAACCCACAACCTTCTGGTTAGTTGTTGTTGTTAAGTGCCATTGAAATGGCTCTGACTCATAGCCACCCTGTATAGGGTTTCTTATGAGCTGTTGGTATGTTTGAGCCACAAACCTTTTGGTTAGCAGCCCAGTGCCTACCCTGCAGTGACACACCTGCATAAACCATTTGTATCAATGAAATACTTACAGATGGATGGACTTGAGAAGATATGTTAAAGACCTATACACTCCCACCCCCTCCATATGCAGAGTAGACAGGGATGGGTAACTTGGACATTGGCTTCCCCAAATGGGGGGAGGGGGAGATTACAAAGGCAAGAAGTGACTGTTTTACAAACTTTCTAGAGGGAACCTAGATCCAGAGGGTGTGGAGTAAGGTAGAATCTTCACTGAGGAGTATCCAGTCTGTCTGGGTGGGGCTGATGAAAGAGATGTAGATAGGTCTCTTGTGGTACAATAGTAAATAATTCTTATCAGGAATGACTATGTGGCTCGGAAATGTAAAGGTTGACATTTGAAGCAAAAGGAGGGGAGTGATTGACTTTGCAGTCCAGGAGTGGAGGTCCCTGGGACCATTAAGGGAGAAAAGTGGAGTGCGGGACCCTACCCAGAGAAACAGTGACACCAGAGATGGAGGCAGAGACAATGATGTGGAGAGATGAAGTGGCTGGGGAGTCTAGACCCAGAGAGGGAGAGGGACTGTGTGCTGATGACCAAGGGGCAAGCTTGTAGTGTATACCCTTTGGTTGGTTGATGATCCATGGAGGGGATTGTAACCATGGCAATGAAACGATATACAACGGGATGAAAGTAAAGCTAATGTTCTCCCATGTAAACTATCACATAATTCACAATAAAACATAAATTAAAAAGAGAGGAAAGAAAGAAAAGACCAAAATGTATGTCAGAAGAGACTCTGAAACTTGCTATCAAGTGTAGAGATGCTAAAGCAAATTAAAGAAATGAAGAAGTACAAGAGCTGACCTGAGTATTTCAACTAGCAGTTCAAGAAAACAAAGTCAAATATTAAAAGAAATGTGTAAGACCTAGTTAGAAAACTAAAAGGGAAGAACATACTCAGCCTTTCTCAAAATGAAAGAAATAAAGAGAACATTCAAGCCTCAATTTTCAATATTAAAGGATTTTATATTTGATGTTCTATGTAGTAATGACAAATTAAGTCATCAGTTTAATGACTGGTGTGAAAAAAAAAAAAAAAAGACCTATACACAGCAAAATATGAAACATTGGTTAGAAGAATTAAAGAATAATTAAATTAGTGGATAGACAGGCATAATATGTCTATGGGCCAGAAGATACAGTACAAATAAGATTTAATTTTCCCCTAAATTCATTCATTCATTACCAATAATAATAATTTAAAAATCTACAGGAATTTTGTGTACAAATTGACAATTTTTTTGCACAATGCATTTATAAATGCAAAGAAACTATGAGAGACAAAACATCTTTTGAAAAGAAAAGCAATGTTGGTATGATTGCAAGGATCATTATCAAGTTATTGTACCAGGGAAATTGTCGTATTGGTGCTACTTTAAGACAATCTGGAGATCAGAAAGAGACTTAAACATGGCTATCTATACATCTGATTATCAACAAAATTATTACTATAATCCAGTGCAAAAAAAAGATACATTTTCAGCAAATACACTAAAACAATTAGATCTCTGTATATATAAAAAGAATTATTTATTAACTTAGCACCATGTATAAAATTAACCTAGACTTAAAGATAAAATCTATATATAAAATCTTCTAGAAGGAAAAATGAGGAACGTTGGTTTATGCGAGAGAGAATTTACTATATGCTAAAAGAATAATCCATTACAAGTAACCTATTGTAAATTTGACTTCATCACAAGTAAAACTGTCTGCTTTTCTAAAATTAGTTAGAAACAACTGTAGATTGCAAAGAAATATCAAATAATGAGCTTTTATTCATAATTACTAAAAAGACAAAGAACTCTCAAAACTCAAAATAACACAAAACAGAAAAACAAAATGCATCACAAGACATTTGATTTGAATAGAAATTTGACTAAAAAAAAAAAAAAAAGAAAAACAATACTCATGGAAAATCAGTACTTGACAAGATGTTTAACTTCCTTACCCAGGAGTTAAAAATAAATTAAAATTAAAATTAAAAATATTGAACACCTTTTAGAATAGGATAACATTTAAAAGAATGACCATAGCAAGTATTGGGGTTTATGTGGAGGAGCTGGATCTCATAAACTGTTGGTGTAAATACAAAATAGCAATTTAAAAATACTTTGAAAAGTTCCTAAGTAGTCAATCATACAACTACTACATGTTCTAGTCCTTCCCGTTCTTGATATTTACCCAGAGGAAATAAAAGTATATGTCTACAAAATAGTTTAACATAAATATCAGTAACAGCCATATTTATAATAGTTTAAAATTGGAAATTGTCTATATGTTAATCATCATTTGAAAGAATAAAGCATTTTTTGTATAGTCACACAAATGGAAAACTTCTCAGCAATGAAAAGAAATAAACTACAGATACATACAATATCATGGATGAATCTCAAAATAAATATGCTAACTGAAACAAGTGAGATGGAAAAGTATAAATACTGTACGATATTATTTATATAAAATTCTAAAAAAATCTAACTTTTATTTTCATGTTAATTGGATGGGGGACTGGTACAGATTACAAAAAAATAATTACGAGGAAAGTTTAGACAGTAGGCTATCTTTATCCTAGTATATAATTGTGGTGAGGTTTTACTAGTATACACTTATTTCAAAGCTTTTCAAACTGTACATCTTAAATATGGCACTTAAATGTATGAATTCTACATCAATAAAGTGTTTTTGGTTATGAGTCAGACTACTAACATCAGTTTAGTTTGCAACTACCAGCTGTTCCACTGGAGAAAGATGAGACTTTCTGCTCCTGTAAAGATTTACAGCCTCAGAAACCATACGCAGGGTCGCTATGAGTGGGAACCGACTCCACAGCACATAACCACCACCACCATCAAAGTGCTTTTATTTTTAATCCGGGAATCAAAAACAAAGCTAACTGAATAATTAAGGTTTATAGAGACTTTCATTTAAAGGAAAAGTTTAGTCTCTGATTTAGGGTGTCTATTTATGAGTGCCAGTGGAAGTTATCTGAATAATTAAGGACTTGATAATTTTTTTTAGAGTTGTTACAGCTCTTCTTTCTTCACCAATCTGAAAATATTTTCAGTTCCAAAGATTGTCATGTTGGCCCATGGTGCAGGAACTTCTTTGATACTACACAATGGACAGGATCAAAAACTTTCTTTTTCTTTTTAGGTTCAATACTTCTTTGAAAAACCAGGCGTTAAAGTCCAGATGCCCACCATTGAAAGACTCTCCATGCCCAAAAAATTTTACCTCTTCCCAGGAAATTAAGATTAGTAAGTACCTATAATGATATTATTGTTGTTGTTATGTGCTGTGTAGTCTGTTCTGACTCATAATGACCCTATACAAGGTTTCCTAGACTGTAAATCTTTACAGGAGCAGAAAGTCTCATCTTTCTCCCATGGAACAGCTGGTAGTTTTGAACTGATGACCGTGAGATTAGCAGCCTGATTCATAATCACTATGCTAACAGAAATCGATAAATTGGTTGGAGTAGAGGTCAAAGGTGGTGATAGATAATTCTCACATGGATGACACAATATATTTTTATTATTGTCTTATTCTTGCATTCTTATAACTTCTATCTTCTTTGTATTTATGTTAATAAATTGAACTTCCTAACGCTGTGCATCCATGTATGTCACAATTCTGATATTCTCAATTCAGATGCAATACTTAACAATTCTCTTTAAATATTGTCTCTCAGTCATTCTTTCTATTCTCTTTAACTTAGAGATGATAGGCTGAAATTTGGCCTCCATGATCATTACCTCTTGGTACTATAAGTATGAATATGGCGAGTTACATAGCAAAAACAACTTTGTAGAGCTAATTAAAGTTACCAATCCACTAATCACAAAAAAAGGAGCATATCTAGGATAATCTGAGTGGGACAGATCTAAACATACACTTGAATCTTTAAAAGGAGGCAACTTTCTCTGGCTGGAAACAGAAGAGATGCAGCAGAAGGGTAAATGAGAGAGATTCCAAATGTGAGATGACTCTGACACATCATTTCTGGTTCTGACATGTGTGAAGACCAGAGAGAGGCCACTAGGAGTTTAGGACAGCTCCCACTTGACAGCCAGAAAATACAGCAGAAATGAAAAGTTAGTTCAACAATTACAGAACTAGACCCAATCAAGACCTAAATGAGCTTCCCAAATCCTCCAGCAGGAAAAACAACCTGTGTCAGACACCTAACATACAGAACTATGAGATAATAAATTGGTGTTGTTTAAAGTCACTACATTGATAGAATTTTTTTATGAAATATAGAACAAATAAAGACATATGTTTGATACTCTCATGCTAGCTTCCACATTTCTTAATTTCGCTGATATTTTCCATCTCCTTATTTCTTTTTAGGAAGAACTAATGGTGCTGTGAGTTAGGCATTGGTCTGTTAATCACCAGGTCAGCAGTTCAAATTTACTTGTCACTCCATGGGAGAAAGAAGAGGCTATCTGCAGAAAATTGACATGGTCTGCCCCAGAAAAGATTTACTATCTTGGAAATCCTGCATTCCAAATATCATTTATATTTATATTTCAATTCTCTCACCAACTGTATGTTTAACTTGCCTTTTGAATTTTTATTTGACCAATCATACTTTGTACTTACAGATAATCCATTATTGAAATGATTTTAAATCTATAAAAAGGGGCTTCAAAAGTTTGTGGAATCACTCCCCGACCTCAAAATATACTACACGGCTACAGTGGTCAAAACAGCGTGGTACTGCTACAATGAAAGGTACATAGATCAATGGAACAGAATCAAGAATCCAGAAATTAACCCATCTACATATAGCCAATTGATCTTCGACAAAACACCAAAATATATCACATGGGGAGAGGATAGTCTCTTCAACAGATGGTGCTGGCAGAACTGGAAAACAATATGCAAAAGTCTGAAACAAGACCTTCACCTCACGCCTTATACAAAAACCAACTCAACATGGATTAAGGACCTAAATGTGAATCCCAGAATTATGAAGGTCATCAATGAAAAATTTGAGACAAA